TGTTAGTAAAGGCAACTTTACTGCTTACATTAGAAAATGGCCCTTAGTAAAGTAAACAAAGGGGAGTAGTGTTATCGATTCCTTTATGGTTTTTCTTCTTTTGTAAACTTAAGTATTTTACCCAATTATGTACTATTTAGATATTTAAAAGAAAAAAACATGTGAAATTGTTTGAAAATAGTGTTTAAGAAATTCGATTTTTTTTTAAAAAAAAAAGAACTTTTTCTTGCTATGTATTTATATGCTTTCAAATATAAACAAGCGTACAATGTTATCATTCATAATAACTAAAAATAATTAAAAGCTGTTGCACAGAAACACTAAAGCCAAAAACATGTTGCAAGAAAATATAAACATATTCTGCATGTTATATAATAGATATAAAAACATACAAATAACTTGTAAGCAAAATCACTTTAGTAATTGAATGACGTAAATAAATATTCGTACTTTACTTGTGAATGTGTAAAATAAAATCGTTCGGTCTTGTGTTATTTATTTATTTTGGAATTTATAAAGGTAGGTTACACTACATATGTACGTATATATGTATAATATGTATATCCATAAGTAAAAAACTATTTAAATATTTGCATAAACGAACATTTTGGTGGGTGCCTTCACTTTGCTTTGTTAAGTGTGAATTTCCTCGACTTTATAAGAAATTCGCGCTTGAAGCTTTTAAGACAAGAATACACCGGTCGTACGACCTTTTTGCAGTCGGAGTATCGCCAGCAGCCAGGACTCACATTTCACATTTTTCTGAATTTTTGTGCGCAACTTTCAACCATCGGGTGGATTTACTACAGTCAGAAATTTCCTCCAGATCAACATGTTGGGCACATGTTGTAAAAAATATTTAATACAGATTTTGTAGACAAAAATGTGAAAAATCGCGCCTCAAGTCTTTCTTTCAGCCCAAAAAATGTATATAAAGATTTGCTGTAGAAACATTTTTAAGTCTTCAAAAGATAGCTTCAGGCATGCTCTATGGACCCACGATTTTTTCTAAAAATTGTACAAAAACTTTATGAAAAATTCGCGTTTGAACCTTTCAAGACTAGATTGCCTGTCGTACGACCTAGAAAATTAAAAAAATGTTTGTCTAAAATTTAAGCTTTTTTCTCTGAATTTTTTAATCAATTTGGGTGTGCAATTTATAGCCCATGGAATTTTAATATAACCAAAAATTTTTAGTATAACTAAAAAATTCCCGTTGATTATTTTTATTTTTTGCCGCCGCCGGTTTTTTTTCGTTTAACGATTGTTTTATAAAAACTGGCGCTGATTATTTTATTTTTTTTTTGCGAACAATCATAGTGTGTAGTTACATACCTGTCCATGTTTTTTTCTATTTCTCATCAGTATTCCAGTTAAATGAGTATTAAGCGGTGTGCGTTAAAGAGTAAAAATATGTACATAACTAAATTCAAAAATGTTTGGACTCTTATTTAAGAAAGGAAATGTTCATATTTTTTTTTATATCCACCCAGTGCCAGAACTACATAAACTGCAAAACAATAGCACACAAAAAGCCACACTCAATGCATTTCAGTGCAATACTTTGAGCAGTACTTTGCTGCGGTCATCATAAACACCGCACTAACAACTCGACAGCGCTGCAACTCGACGACTTGGCAAAGTTATGTGGCTAACTTTAGCATTACCTCTAGCCACACCGAAAGGTCAACATCAAGCTTTCCCTCTTACAATACAGGACCCCCCCAGACGCATGCACATACGCAAAATACAATAGTGAGAATAACAAATAAAAAGAGGGTTTGTAAAAGTTTTGATTTCCTGTGGTGCCTCACCTGTCCGACGTGCATATGTACATACATATGCAGTGTGTCAAATGCAGGTTTCTTAGATGTAAGTATGTACTTGTATATGTATGTGTGTTGCACGTTTATATGTATGCACATCATTGCAGAAAGTATTTACTTTAGTCAACTGACTGCATTGAAAAAGTTATTCACAGCACGTACAGTAGCTGGTTAGGTTTGTGGGAATGTGTAGGTATGTAGGTGTACATGTGTATGTGCGATGTGCGGTGAGTGTGTATGTTTTAATAGAGCGTCAAATAACCACAAAATTAATGAGTTTTGAGTGCATGAAGGAGGATGATTTTAAGTAATGCAGTTTAGCGTGACACAAACTTTTAACAAGGACATGCAGAAGGAAAGGGGTACTTTCTTAGCCGACATCTCAGCGTGTAGTTAGGTCAGTTATAATGTGGTTACGCAAGTTTATCAAGGACATTTTACGTGGTAGTCATTGTAAGATTTTTAAGCTAAACTCTCTCTAGTATCTGGGTGGTCCGTGGCAAGCAAAATATTAAGAGCCTCCTCCGAACTTTGTTATTACCCTAACCAAAGACCGGCTGTTTTTAAGTGGTTCTTTAACTTATAAATGCCGGCCGAATGACCTGTAAAATGATTGGATCCGAACTGCCTGAAAGACTATCGCCTTTTAATAGAAAATGTGAAATGTTTTGGAAGAGGGTTGGCACCTTTTAAGAAATTCCAAATCCATTTATTTAACTAGTTTAACGATATATTTAATTATGGGTATCAAACAAGTGGTAAGGCTATATTTTGAAAATATTTTTAAAAGGATTGCCACCTGTTTAAAAATTCAAAATCATAAATTGCCAAGTCTAATTAAATAGTTTAATATGAGTATCAAATGATAAAAGTTTTAAGAAGTTTTATGTAAAAAATATTTTTTAAGAGAATTGCCACCTGCTTAGAAATTCAAAATCAATTTAATTAACAGGTTAGTTGGCATAAGTTTCAAATGAGATAGGCTTTGGAAAGCTTTATTTCGAAAATATGTTTTGAATCGTGTTGCCACCATCATACATATACATATAAATATGTATATTACCGAAAGTTATATGTGCTTAATACTTAAATGGCTGACTTTTTTTTTATGTGGCACAAAAATTGACCATGTCCTGAGATATAATTCGTTTCGCAGACCTCCCAAGAAAGGGAAATATCGAGACTGGTTCGATAAAGGTAACCATCTGAGTAGCAAAACGTTAAACCGTAAATCATGCAACGGGCCGCTGTCAGAAGCTAGTAATTATATCTGCATGTAACTGACACAAATTTTTTATTGCTTAAAATGATGTGGGGACTTATAATTCGATGAAATGCATCATATTTAATCAATCAAAAATGGAATTTTGGATTTTTACTTAGTTACGACTTTTTGTATTTCAGCGACGATGCGAGATAGGGCTTTTTCTATATTAAGGTAACGATATAATTTAGTTATGAATACTGAAACCGAAGTCTAGTGAAAAGCCGCTAAAAATTTTTAGCCATCCTTAATGTCCAAAATTCTGGGAATTTCTCTTTGAAATGTATTTCTTATTTTGCAGGCATGTGTTCACCGCACTTTTCACATTTTATCTCGTTCAGCACTCCATGGTAAGAAAAAAAAAACAAATTTTATTAACGGAATAAATATTTTATTAAACGAATCGTTCTCAGTAGATT